TGGAGGTCCAACTTATCCTCAGCATCCGACGATACATCCACATTGATGTCTTCTTGTTTTAGCGTTCAAGTTTCGCATCCATATTGAAGTAGGGGCCATATATAACGTTTTCCATTATGTCGGTATTTTCATTGTCTTGCGGATGGATGTCTGTCGAAAATCATAGTTTTTGTCTTGGCGGTGTTAATCTCTAGACTCCCTGATACTTCCCTTAGATCCTCATACTTTCTTCTGTCAGTTTGTCCATTAGGGTTTGCAGATGGTCTTCGGATTCTGCTAATACCACGGTGTCGTCTGCATATCTTATATTGTTTATAATTTTTCCATTTATTTTAGCCCCTTCTGGACAATTTTGAGGAGATTTTAGGATTATATATTCGGCATAAACGTTAAACAATAATGCTGACAATATGCATCCCTGTCTAACACCTCTTTGTATGTCTACGTATCTTGTATTTCCTTTTTCTGTTCTGACACAACCTTTGTGATTCCAGTATGTGTTCCTTATATATTTATCATTATTATAATGATAATATCTCTCTCATCCAAGCCTACTTCAGTAAGAACTTCAACTAATTTTTCATGCTATATTCGATCGAACGCTTTTTTGTAGTCAACGTAACATACGTACAGCTTCCTTTGGACTTCCATGTACCTCTCTGCAATTAACGTTAAACTCAGGATGGCTTCTCTTGTTCCTGTCCCCCTTCTAAAACCGTATTGTGATCTAGTAAGGAAAGCATCACATTTGCTGTATACTCTATTGAATATTATTCGCATAAAGATTTTCGCTGCGTGGCTCATCAGACATATTGTTCTGTGGTCTTCGCATTTCTTCGCTTTACTCTTTTTGGGTAAGGCTATGAAGGTAGATGTTACTCAGTCTTCGGGGATTGTTCCAGTTTCATATACTTTATTGAAAAATTGGGTCAGAATTTTGATGGCATTATCGCTTATGTGTTTGAAGTGCTCTGCTGTTATTTGATCTTCGCCCTGTGCCTTATTGCTTTTTGTTTCTCTGATTGCTTTGATGACTTCATCTTTCAATATGGGTAGATGGTCTCCTTTCTCTATTTTTGGATATTCCTGTTTTCTTCTCGCATCTCCGAACAATTCTTTCAAATAGTTCTCCCATATAACCTGTTGTTTACTGGGGTCCAGTTCTATCGCGTTATTTTCGTTTGCGATTGCTGACAGATGCCTGGGTTTCCAAAGGCCGGTGAATTCTTTGATTTTTGTATGTAGTTCTCTATCTTTGTGTTGGACCTGCAGTTGTTCTACTTCAGCGCTTTTGGTTTGGAACCAGTTCTCTTTTGCGCTTGTAATCTGTCTCTGGATCTCCTTGTTTAACCTTTTGTACTGGTCTTCACATTTATTCTTAACTTTGCGCCTTTCGTCTATTGCTTCTATTATTTCCTTTGTCATCCAGGGCTTTTTCAATTTTCGGTCTTCCTTTCCTATTATCTGTTCGCTTGCTTCGCGGAATATGTCTTTGAATTTTGATCATGTTTATTCCATGTTATTTTTGGTAGTTGTATTATGTTGTATTGTATTTTCTTTCTCTAACTGTTTGTCGACTTGTTGCCCGTAAAGTTCTTTTTTATTGTGATCTGCAGATGCCCAGGCTATTCTTGGTATTGGTTTTGGTTGTAGAATTTTCTTTAGTTTAAATCTCATGGTGGCCACCACGGGGTTATGATCGGAATTTATGTCACATCCAGGATATGTCGTAATACTGAGCGTTCATAATACTGTTGCGAAATCTTTTGTTGATTGTTATGTAGTGTATTTGATTTCTGACAGGTTTGTCTTTGCAGTTTTGGGGAGATTTCCAGGTGTACAGTCGTCTTTTGGGTAGTTTAAGCCACGTGTTGGCTATAGTGAGATTGTTTTCTTGACAGAACTGTACAAATCGTGTGCCCCGATCGTTCCTTGCACCTAATCCATAAGGGCCTACTATGTCGTCTGTTGCCTCTTTCCTTACCTTGGCATTCCAGTCGTCAAGATATATATTAATGTGGTTGTTTTTTGTATGTTCTTTAACTAGTTCGATGTTGTTATAAAATGCCTCCAAATCGACGTCTGAACTTTCAACTGTTGGTGCGTACACTTGTATTAGATTGATGTCGAAGGGATGTCCGCTTATTCTAATCAACAGTATTCAGTCGTTTACTGGTAAAAAACTTTTTATATATTGTGTCATATTTTTTTAGATTAAAATTCCCACACCATTCTGAGCATGTTCGCCTCCTGAATAAAAGAAGCGGCTACCATTGGTGGTGTCGACATATCCTTCTCCCTTCCATCTGAACTCACTCATTCCCAAAACATCCCACTTCATCCTCTCCATTTCATGCTCGGCATTCGTCAGTTTGCCTGCTCTAAATAATGTTTTCACATTCCACGTAGCTATCTTAAGTTTCCACCCGGGAATTCTTAGCACCCCTTGACGATTGAACGTCTGCCGGGGACTAGGGGCCAAATTGTCATTTTGTGCTGCTATAGTAACTTTTTTGGGAAAATCACAGTGATCTTTAATACAGTGGTTTCCCGTTGCCTTCTGTATCCTTATGCCGTTGATTACTATTAATAATTCCTCCGCCTTTGAGGTCGATTTCTCAACCTCAGGACAAAAGAGTGCCCTTTCCTCCACTTGTTCATTCGCCCGTAGCCGTTGGCAAGTTGGAGGTGGATCGCTAATTCCGGCGATCGTTCGGTTGTGGTTCGGTCGTCAGAGCCTCGTCGGTTATCTAGCAGGGTGTACCGGGTAACGTTAGTTGCCACACGAGCAGGTGAGGTTGACATTTGGGCTGGCATTTTAAACTTTCGCCCCTTACGCCAGGGTGTAGAAGTTTCATTTTTATTTCGATTTTTTCCAAATAATTTATGAAGTAACGTCAATATTTGGATGAAAATTGGTGTCTGGAAGTTTTTTGACATGAGAAATTTGATTTTCATGTCAATACGACTCCTACTTGTATAGGGCTCCACCTATATATTTTTTAACTGGTTTGAAGAGTAATAACTTTTCGTCCATACCTGTATTAAACTACTGAGTAAAAAATATACATTTACGACTTTTATTACATAAAAAAAGGTCTTTTGGTAAAAATCGCTAAGAGTAATGTTTCTCGAGATATTTGAAATCGAAATTATCAATACCTGTCATCATTGACATATTTAAACATGTTGTCTAAATAGTTATTAAACTGAAATCATAAATTTGAAATCTTTTTGTGCCAAAAGTTCAATTGAGATTGTTTAATCATCATTTTTTCGCAGAAAAAAATATGATTAATTTAAAAAAATAAAAATTTATTATTTCAATCAAATAGCTATACTCACGGGGGTGTCACTTGTATGGGAAAATAGGCAACAGTCAAATTTAAACATGCCAGGATAAACGACAAAGAAAGCAACATTTGCCAGGCATTGGCTTTCTTTGTCACTCACATTGCTTAAATCATGATACCGCGGCCATTTTGTCAACAAAGAAGCTGGCCGGCTGTCCTGGCAAGTGATTTAAAACAATTTTGCTTTTTACAATATTAAATTACCATTTGGATGTATTTAATGCGATTATTCAATTAACTGGTAAGTCAGAAATTACACACAAATACTTTATTCGTAAATACAACTAAGATGTAAACGTAGTTTTGTATTTTTAGATTTCAACTTTTGCAAAGACCCGCCGATAGAACTTGCCTGGCAGCGTACCTGTTTAACTAAACGTATTATTTCCTGATAATAATATCAAAACACGTAAGTACCTCTATAATTTATGATGACAAATGATTTTGATTATGTTTTATGTTATTTAAATACTTTCTAACCTCAAATAATAGTAAGATCCTTGTTTATATCGCACAGCCCGTTCAAAACTGTATTGTCTTCAAAAAATGTTTACAAAACAAACAATTATTACAAAAACAATGTCCTTTTAATCTGATTTATACCTCAGAAGGATGCCAGTAAAATTTTATTAAATCAACATTATATTATTTGGCCATTAATATCCAAAAAGGAGCATATTGCCTTAACTTAAATTTTCTTTTACTTCTCTTGACAATGTTCTCTATATTCTCTATTTTGAGTTAGTAAACTTTTGAACGGGATGTGCGATATATAAAATACATAATATATCCAAGGGTATGATCTGATAAAAGTATTTTTTGATGCATTTTTTGTTTTTTTATGCACGTTGGCTTGGTTTATGTTTTATTCAGCTTATATTTATTTGGTATAATAGTTTTTTTTGCCTTTGGAATGGCATGTATTGAGGCTATAGATAGTGTTTCATTAGATCATTAAAGGAATTTAAATTAGCACATATTTTTTGTGATATTAGTGTGTTATTTTGATACAACTACTAGGTAGTTGTATCATAGTGCCTTATGCATGTTATTATATACTTATGTATTATCAATAAATAGATGATAACATACTACTAAAATGTATTTTTAATAGTATGTTTATCTTTCCAATTCCCTAGTTATTTGCAAAATGTATTTTGAACTAATTTAAGTCATTAATTGATCATCTTTATTTTTCAGGTTCCGGGATATTCTTTTTCATTGTTAAAAAATATATATATTTCAATATTATTGTAATATAAATCGCAGCTCTAAAAAATAAATGATATTGTTTACTAAATGTGTAATTTATTTACTATGAATTTTCTCTGAAAATAATAAGTCTTTAATAATATCATTGATTTGCTGTGTAAAGTTAATAGACATATTTTTTAATACTTTAAATTATATTAAAGTAATAAAAAATATGTTTATTAACTTTAAACAGTAAATCAGTGATACTTATAAAAATATTTTTTAAAAAATTTCCCCTCTTTTAAGCCCCGCCCCTCCAATTCTCCTTAATTTAGCTAGTACTGCCAGGCTGCACCAGGTGGCGCCTGTTTCCATTTTTTAACATGAAGTTAGCATTTCTTTAATGTACCTATTCTCTGGCTATACTCAACATGTGCTTATTTTTTGTCAATAATGAGATGTATTGACTATTTCCTGAAGTGTTGGAAGATGAAATACCGTGGAATGGGAATCCCAGTAGGAAAAGACACTTTATATACCTTACTCTTTGCCAACGACCAGGTCTTGATAGCGAGAGACAGAGACGACTCCAGTTATATGTTTAGAAAACTGCATGAGGAATATTCGAAATGGGGCCTAACAATAAACACAAAGAAGACGGAGTACATGGTAGTGGGTGATGACGAACGTGAGGATTTGGATGTAGGAATCGGCATAATTAAAAATGTCTGTACATTTAAATACTTGGGCGTCACTTTTACAACAAATGGAAAAAGCACTCAAGATATTGCAAATAAAGTTGGTCAAGGAAAAAGAGTTATCGGTCAACTTAACTCGTTGTTGTGGAGTGACAAAATTTCCCAAAAAAAACAAAAATTCGACTTTATAAAGCCATTGTAGAGAGCATTACCACTTATGGCGCTGAAACGTGGGAGCTAAACAGAGTAGAGAAAAATAAGTTGATGTCTCTTGAAATGGATTTTTGGCGAAGTTTACAAGTTTTTTACAAGTTATCGCATTTCAAGGCTGGAACACATCTCAAATCAAAGAATACGAGAAATTATAGGAGAAAAAGAAATTATTCTCGACGCCATTGGCGGCAAAATACTAAGTTGGTACGGACACCTCCAACGAATGGATGATAACCGATGGCCGAAAAGAATTCATTCATGGACACCAAGCGAAAGGCGGAAACGTGGAAGACCACCTCGAAGATGTGGAAGACCACCTTGACGCTATGAATTCTAGGGGCCTCCAGGAAGAAGACTGGACAGACAGAAATCTGTGGAAGTTGAGAAGCGGGAGACGACGAATGTCGTAAAAATCCGCAATATATATATATATTGACTATTTCCATTCTAAATATCTTCAGAACGATTACTCGTATCGATTTTTACCAAGACACATTTTTTACGTAAAAAGTCATGGAAATGTATATTTTTTCAGTCAGTAGTTATATACCGGTACGGATGAAAAGTTATTACTCTTCAAAACAGTTAAAACATAAAAAAAGCATTTTAGGACATACGTTTATACGAAATTTTTTCCTTATTTTTATCTGCAGAATATGCTGCCGAAGTTTCCGGAATACAGTTCGGACCACCCTTTATAATTTATATAGTTTTGTAACAAATTGCTCGCTATTTCATGACAAATGCTGAAACCAGAGTCAGCAGAGAAGAACAATCGTAGAGAAGCGACAAAAACCGTCGGCACTATTGTAGTAGGGGGGACCAAATTTTGTGACCTTCAAATTGGCGAACGTGAGAGATAGCATGTTTTGAGAGATAGCATAGCTACACCGATAGCATAGCTACACCGAGAGAAATTCAACGAAGGCAAAAGGAATAAGAAAAGTTGTACACTGAAAAAAACATGTGTTCAGTAAAAAGTATATTAGAAATATTTAGGAATCATATTGAATAGTAACTATCTTTTAAGATTTAACGGGATTCAGCGATTTGTGGATTTACCACGTTCTAACCATTTTCTAACCTATTCCTTTTAGAGAGACATTTTCAAATCGTATCTGATAATATTGTTTGCTTCGAAATTAATATTTGAAAGTGTGTTTTTAAGTAAAACAATTTTAAGAAAAACTCGAATATTTATCAGCTGTTATCACAAGTTAACCTAACCTAACCTAAACAAACCAAAAAGTAAATAACATGATTACAGTTGACGGTTGGAACTGGGGTAATATATATCTTTATAACATGAGAACATAGATGGTAGATTAAATTTAAAAGAAAGAAAACCCAGAAAAGATTCAGCGGTTCTGAAAATGTAAGCAAATATTTTTTTTTTAATTTTCAAAGAATCTCGGTTATTCTGGACTTTTTTGAAAACGGTAAAGAGAAAAAATAGCTTCATTTATCGAGATCTACCAGCCCTGAAAAGATTTACACTAAAAAAAGACTCATCCTGTATATTAAAAAATCATATTTTACATAAAAAAACATAATATGGTTTAATATTATATATAACATTATATTAGTATAATATTATTATATTAAAGATAACACAACTCAAATTAGCGTCGCTAATATATTATATATGCGATTAAATATTTCATTTTCTAATAGTTTTAATTTTCTAATTATTTTTTATTAAACGCTAACAAACCTGCATCTATTTTAATTTTAATAATATTTAGTTCTGAAAGTTAGTTCGTTCATTAAGTACTATTATAAGGTAAGGATAAAATATAGAAGAATTAATTCAAAAAGATTAATTATATACACATATAAAAAAATAGTAAGATTTTAGGACTTTATATTAATAATGGCAACGCTGGCCGTATTTCGAAAACACATTGAGAGACAGTTAGCATGTTTACAGTACGCCTGTCCGTTCTGAGGCTACGGGGTATCTTTGAGAGGGGAAACGATATTCTCTCGATGTTTTTCGTAAAAAATTAGACGACGCGTCCCATCAATAAAAATTCGACAAATTTGCAAGTAGCCAATAAAATGAGTGGGCGGAGCGATTTGCGGTGACGTACTCGTCAAGTCGACGTATAAAATATATTGCTGTTTATTTAAATGTTTTTTGTCCGCATTCCTTTCATAGACACAGATCCAGCAGACGAACTGTACCTCCCACTCCAATTTTTTAGGCGGGATTCGTTTTGTCACTTCTCTACGATTGTTCTTCTTTGCTGAAACTCTGCAAACCTTAATCAAGCCTTAATCAAACTGTAACAGTCCAAATTTAGCTTTAACTAGGTTTAAAAATATATACCAATTTTGCTTACAAGTTAGATCAAACTCTTATTTATGCTGAAAAATAAATTTATTGCATTTAATTTTTATAAACAAATATTCATTACAGCTATATTTCATTATCTTTCTTACTCTCCTTTGCTTAATTTATGTTGCTTTCCATGCCATATCTCAGTCAGTAATCAATCAGTAATGATCTAAAATATAATTAAAATTTATTATCTTATGCTAATGTTACGTTTTTCGTCGGTTCCGTGTGGATAGAAAGTCACAATTTATTTAAACACTATTTATTTAACACTAATTAACAAAAATAATAACGATAAAAGACTTATAGAACTATTTACAAACGATTTATAACTAAGAATTTATTTTGAATTTTAGCGCGTCAACTGTATATTTATAACTGCCCCCTGTAGGCCACGGCCGCCGGCTTTTATACCGGCAGGTAAAGAACTCTAGAATTGTCCATAGATCGTTAGGTGCGTAGAGAAGGTTTTCGAATGTTCTCGTATGTACTCGTCCGTTCCAGTGGGACTCGATTCTTCTCGAACGAATGAATCATTGCGGTGTCTATGCGATGTTAAGGTCATCCGAGGGCGGGCCATATTGTGAGGTTAGGTCGAGTCCACACCGGCTCGCAACACTGCCCCCTTCTTAGGCACATGCTCGTCCCGAGATTATACGGTGAATGAAGGTATTTGCAAAGCTGGCCCCTGGTACATTGCGAAGTCTGGTAGAAATAGCAGTCTACAGTTTTCTCTCCCGATCTCAGCTTTGGGTTGTAGCAGCAAACGAGGATCTCGATTCCCGTAAATCTGAACAAGACTTCAATCATGTTCCGGATTGTACGCCAACTCAAACCATCGAGTCCACACGCCAGCTTCGGAATGGCTAATCGTGCAATGTTGTTGTTTAGCAGGGCTTCTCTCAGTTCAATCAGGGTCTTCCATAGATTGAGATAAGTCGGCTTACTCGGGGACCATTCCTTGGTGACCAGGTAGAAGATGTGCCTTGCTTGACCATGTGCATTGTCGGTTAGCCTCAAGACGCTTCCAACCTCTGGATCCTGTCGGCGTAGTTCTCCGACACGCCCAAACTTCTCATTGAACGTCGCAGCGATTCCTCTGGACATCCGCAAATCTCGAGCCACACAATGAGCGAGCGAATAATCAGGAGGCACGGAAAAGAGGTCTCGTTGATCTTCTTTGGTTACACCATAGCGAGCCTTCTCACTGCTGTTGTATCGGGCCATGAAATCGTCAAAGGACATCTCCGAATCAGGGGGATCAAAGCTGCAGGTTCTCACGGTCCCAGCACGATCTTCTATTTCGCCTTGGTAGGGGCTCAAACGGTTGAAATGGACTACCCTCGGTTTTCCTTTTGGCAATTTTCTGATACGGTATACGACGTCATTAATTCTATCCATGACTTCGTATGGCCCTTCCCACGAGGATTGTAGCTTCGGAGATAACCCACGACGTCTCTGCGGGTTATATAGCCACACCAACTTCCCTGGTTGGTATCCTCCATGCTCAGCTTGAATGTCGTAGTGTTCCTTCATTCGGTCACTAGCACTTTGAATATTTAGGCGGACTCTCTGATGAATGTCGTCCATCCTTTGACGTAGTGTGTGGACATAATCTTCTCCGGCGACTTCTTCTCCCGGTCGGCAACCAAATTTCAGATCACAGGGTAGGCGCACTTCCCGTCCCATAACGATGCTGGCTGGAGTTTGCCCTGTAGATTCTTGGACGGATGAACGGTAGGCCAACAGGAACAGGTGAAGAAATTTGTCCCAGTCTCTTTGGTGGTCAGAGACTACTTTGGCCAGATAACGGTTGATAGTTCTGTTCATGCGTTCAACCATCCCATCGGATTGTGGATGTAGAGCAGTCGTCCTGGTCTTGCGGATGTTCAGGACTTCACAGACGCCTTGGAACAGATTGGACTCAAAGTTTCTTCCCTGATCTGAATGAAGCTCCATGGGAACACCAAACCTGCAGATCCATTCTTTAACAAGGGCATCAGCAATCGTGGACGCTTCTTGATTTGGCAACGCGTAGGCCTCGACCCATTTGCTGAAGTAATCCATTACTACCACAATGTATTTGTTGCCATCGTTCGTCTCCGGGAAAGGACCAGCCACGTCGATCGCTATTCGTTCGAAGGGACTACCAACATTGTACTGGCGCATAGGGGCTTTACCACGCTTTTGTGGCCCATTAATGGCTGCGCAAATGTCACATTTCTTACACCAGGCCCTCACATCTTCTTTGCAGTTCACCCAGTAGAACCGTTCACGCAGCTTGCCAAGTGTCTTGGTAACACCAAGATGTCCTCCGCTGGTTCCATTGTGAACTTCCTCCAAGACTTCTGGGACCCTCTTCTTTGGAATGACGATCTGCCTTCTCTCTTCTTGTCCCTCCGGTCTCTCGATCACACGGCGAAGTAGTCCGTTATCTATTACCAAGGAATTCCACTGGGCCCAGTACGACTTTACGTTCGGCGAATATCTGCAAACTTCTTCCCACGTTGGTCTTTGGCCTGTGTTTTCCAGTTAATTACTAAACCTAATTCTGGGTCACTGGTTTGGTCATTTGCAAGATCTTCGGGTTGCCAACTATCATTAACCACAGTTGTTCTTAGGAGTTTCACTTCTTTCTCTTCAGCTCG